CCCCATGTGACTATATTTGGAAGCAGGGCCACAGCGAACACACTTTGCACGCAACCTCCCTCTGTGGCACCTTTTATGTGACTGTGGGCCCCCGGGGGAGCCTCAGGTCTCAACAGCCTCCCTCGCAGACAGCATCTTGGTCACACTTGCTCAGGGGACAGCCCCCAGAACAAAGGCTGCCTGAGACCTCAGGGTGAACTGCGGGCCCCTCCCCCAAGCAGAACTGGTGCGGGGCTTTGAAGTGACGGCGCTTTGGGTCCCAGCTCTGAAACTTAAAAGAGCTGAGAACAAGCTCAGTTCACGGCTCAAGGTTCAGGTGCCCTGGGGCCCCTCCTACAGTGGCTTTGTGAGGGGGGTACATTTCACCAGCTCTTGGGGGGGGGGATGCTCAGGCCTGAGCTGGGGAGGAGGGACGTCTCTGTCTCCATTTCACGGCCCCAGAGCCCACCTTCACCTGCCATACACCCCCCCTCAAATGTCCACTCACAGCTCTGTGTCCTTGGCTCACTAGAGGAGCCGGCTCTGGGTGGAAAAAAGCAAGTGGTGGCTGTGATGGGTATCACCCATCACAGGGGTATCACCCCAAAAAAGCATCACTTCTCTGGGTCTGTGAGTCCCCTGCCCCCTCAGCAGTGGGGTCTCACAGTGGCCCTGGAAGGTCACTGTCCGAGCACAGCCTGTGCTGTGGACATAGGATGGAGGGAGGGTCGTGAGGTGTGGGCTGCTCCACCCCGTCCACACGGCTCCTACGTGAGGACACCTAGCGACTGCTCTGCACACCAGGCTGTCCTCACACCCATAGGGTGGCTCTTCTCAGTTTCTGGCCTCACTGATCTATTAACAAAATCACTTTTAAACATCGTTAGTCTCTATAGTCGCCTACCAGGTCCCAGCCATTTCAAACCTCTTTGCAGTTGCTGTTTATCTGCAGCCACTTGCTACAAGGCTGTATCTTACTGATCCAAGCTCCCTTAGTATCCCGCTGCAGCTGTACAGCATTAATATCCTGACTGTCATCTTCACAGGGTCCCCAGAGAGGGACTCAAGAGGAGTATCGTTGACAAATGCAGCTTGTAGACTGGCATTCTCCACGTCTAATGCTCCCTGGGGGCCAACGGCCAAGGGAGGGTCAGTTCTTGTCCCTGAGGACATGGCCCTGTTGGGAGGTGGTGGAGGGGGGGTGTATGGCAGGTGAAGGGGGGCTCTGGGACGGTTCACGTTCCCCATAACAAAACACCACAGACTGTGTGGCTTTGACAACATGAGTTTCTTTTTCCATGTCCTGGAGGCTGGAAGTCCGAGATCAAGGTGCCGACAGGGTTAAGGTCTGCTAAGGGCTGTCTCTTGGGTTCAGCCACCTTCCCCCTGTGTCCTCACATGGCCTCTCTTAGTGAGCGCAGGTGGAGGGACAGAGAGGAGGGAAGTGCTCTGGTGTCTCCTCTTGCAAGGGCACATCCATCATGAGGGCTCTGCCCTCAGGACCTCATCTAACCTGAGTATCCCCAAAGGCCCCACCCAACTCCAAATACAATCATATTAGGGGTTAGGGCTTCAATATATGGATTTTAGGGGGACACAGTTCAGTCCATAGCAACTGTCAAGGAGCAAGGCTGGTCACGGTTAGCCCTCGACACCCAAGCCGTGATTAGGCTGTGCTCAGGAGTGGGGAACTCCCAAGGAAGGGGTGGCCTGGGCCAGAGTCTAGCAGTTCACGTTGTCCAGGAGGTCCGGACAGGTTAGCAGGATTCACATGTGAGGGGCCACGAAGGAAAATTCAAGTCAAACCTGGGAGAGTCAGATCCAGTCTGTAGGTGGTCAGGAGGGGAGTCACCAGGGGAAGACCCCTGGAGAACTGGCCGTGTCCTCGCCCCATCAGTGGTCAGCAGGTCTTCTGCCCTGGGCCACACCATGTGTACAGAGGAGCCAGGGCCTTTGACAGCAGCTCCAGTGTCATATGGTAGGACAAGGTGGTGGGAGAAGGGAGTGGACCTGGCACTGGAGGGAGCACAGGGCTTATCCTGTGTGTGTGGCCCAGTTGCTACCACGGAGAACCAAGGACCCAAGTGGGGAGCTGCAATTAGACCCTGCAAGGTCTGGCTCCTGCCACTTGGGACAGGCCCCATCTGTGCCCCTGGGCCAGGCCTGAGGGCAATCCCTGTGCTCTCACACTTGGTGTCCAGGTGGCCACTTGGATCTGGTCCCTTCTTGGTCCCTTGGACCAAGATTGTTGGGTCACCTGGCAAAGGCCATCAGGAGCCAGGAAGTACTGCCCCAGACAAGAGCACACAGCATCCCAGGAATCTATTTATTTGGCAAATCAGATTAATCAAATCATTTTTTCCAATTAATTGTGCTAGTTTCACACACGTACAAGTAACAAGTATGTCTCGGGTTTTCTGGGAGTACAAATAATGTCACTTTTTGAGGCCAAATGCCTCCAAGTTTCACTGGGTTTCATAGCAGGAATCTCAGTCTTTCCCAAAACTAAATTCAAAGTTTCCCAACTCCCTGGCTGCCACTTGCTGCAGGAATGGGCCCTTGGATGCATCTGTGCCCTGACACTGATACTGACCCTGACCTTCTGCCCTTTCTTTGCCTGCTAAGTCCAAGTGCTGACCCAGGGCTGGGCTTGGGCCCAGCGAGTGGAACCTCCTGCAGAGCAGCCTGGCCAGCAGTGCTGGGTCTGTGCCCACTCTTGAGGACTCTGAGGAGTCCCTGGTGACTTGCAGGCTGGGGTGGATCCCTATGGGGAGGGAGAAGAGGCCCCTTTCCTCCCCTCAGTGTACTGGGATTGGTCAAGGGGTCCCCGAGGTTCACCCACCAGTCCACAGTCAACCCAAGACTGCTCTACCCCTCCAAGGACCTACACCTTATAGTTGCACAGATCTTGAGTCAAGACTCCCCTCCGCTCTCTCTGTCACCTGGCCTGGGCGGGATCATGCTGTCCCTTTTCTCTTAGGAAGACTATCTGGCCCTCAGCACACTGATAGATACAACTGCAGCGCAAAGGGTGCTCTCACTCCACCGGGTAAGCTCCCGGTTCCCAATGCAAAGAGAGAAACTAGAGGAGGGGTGGTCCCTAATTCCACCCAGCCCCAGGCTCTGACTCCAGTCCAGCCCCAAGTGTCCTGTTGGATACAACAGCCTGGCTTTCTGAAGTAGCACAGGCGTGTCTCTATCCAGGATGGCCATGGGACAGTGCAGCCTGAGGCACGCGAGGAGCGCCCAGGGCTTGGGGAAGCTGGGCAAGACACTTCTGGGCCCGGACGGCAGTGGCTGGTGCCTGGAGTCCAGCTCGAGGGGCAGGGCCTCTGGTCCTGGGCAAGATCAGTCTTCTGTACCCATTTCACCCCTGCATTGGTACTTTCTTCCCCACCCCTCCCTCCAGCCCACGGAGCACCACCTCACCCCGGAGGCAGCCGCCCGAGGCAGGGGAAGGAAGGGCTCCTGCCCGTCTATGGCTCTCAGTCAAGTGGGGGATCCTCAGGCAGGAAGCAGCCGGCCCTCCATCCCTCCTGCCGGTCCCCACCTCCTCACAGGACTCCCTGTCACCACGCCAAGGGCAATGCCCAGCCTCGCCTCCTCCCCCGTTAGGGTTTTATCCGAGCCACCCCCTTCCTCCCCCGCGGCCACCCCCTTGGCGGTGGATGCCTCCTCTCCACGCGTGGAAGGCAAGGCGGTTGCTCTTCTTCCAAAAACCTTCCCCTGGTCTCACTTGTCGCTTCCCATCCCGCTCACTCCAGCTGGCAAAGCCACCTCACAGCCTGATTTATCCTTGCAAACATCAGCTGTCCCTGCTGCTCCTTCGGATCCAGTCGGATGGTTCCGGGAGCCCGAGCCAAGCCGTGATCCAAGGGTTTAGTTTCCACCCAGAAAGTGCCTCCATCCCCGGCTCACGCATTTCTCCCGTCCAGCCGCCCGGGTGGCCGGCTCCGGGGACAGCGCCCCTGCGGCCAGCCGCCCAGCCAGGGCGCAGCTGGCCAAGACGCACACGGGTTCTGTGTCCCCCGGCTGAACCCAACCGAGCCTGATTCTGGTTCACTCTTCTCCAGGAAACCAAGTCTAATGAACAACTTCCCAGTCTGTTCAAGATACAAGCTAGTCACGTTCAGGAACGTCCTTTGTCCCAGGCTCCTTACCGCTGCCTCTAAGACGCCAGGCAGCCGGCACCCCTGTGGCAATGGGGGAGGGGCTGCCCTTGCCTGCCGCCTTCCTTCCCCAGGGGTACCCTCTACCCCCGTGGCCCTCAGGTCTCACCAACAGCTGCCCACTGTGCCGCCTCCCGATTCCACAAAGCATCTGCAGCTCCCCCACAGCCTGGTCCGCGCCAGCCCCTTCTGCAACCCTCTTGAGGGCCTCGCAGGCCTTTCAAAAGCCCAAAAGAAACATGGGGCTCTCTGTGTGTTTGCTCTGCCCTGATCACCCCACTTGCTGCCATCTCTGCGAGGTCTTTGGCCAACGGAGCCCCAGAAAGGCCTGGAAAGTACACCCTAGGATCCCCAAACTGAAAAGGTGCTTGATCCACCCCCCCACCCCCCTACTGCATCTCGGCCCAGGACGCCGGCCACCATGACCAGCCTTCTTGATTCCCTCTCCGAACTCCTCTCTCTCTCTCCCTTCCCAGAACCTTCCAACCTCACGGAAGACGGGGGAGAACTGGGAGCCAGCCTTGTCCAGATGGTCTGATTTTCTTCCTCAATTCTTCTGCCTCATGCTTTTTGGACTTAGAGATCAAGAACTCTCCTGGTTCTTAGGTTCATTATCAGAAATCCCCCAAACACGGGGTGACTTACGTTGAGCAGCCTGGGTCTGTGGGGGGGGGAAGGTCTCTGGGGCATTATGAGCAGACACCGCATTCAATGAGCAACTAAAGGACAAGCACACTAGTCAATGCACCACATGCCGTCCCCCCCCCGACACAGCCCTGGATCAGGATATCGGGTGTCTGCTCCTGGAGTTCGAGGCTAGGGTCTCGTTCCCCTGGGCAGGGCTTTCTGCTCTTAGCCCCTGGTGGTCGCGGTTTCCGAGCGGGCCGGCTTGCCCCTGGGACGCTGCAGGGCCATGATGCCTGTGCGGAATTCTCTGATGACAAAGTAGTAGCAGAAAACGTCCAGGCAGCAGTTGATGTTGGAGAAACACAGGGACAGCTGCAAGAACAAGCTGATGTTCTGCTTAGCTGTGCACTCCACAATAAAGTCATTCCTCACCAGGAACTGCAAGAAGAAGGACAGGTGGACGGGAAGAAAGGAGACCACGAAGACGGCCAGGTTGGACGCGATCGTCCAGATGCAGGCCCTCCGGTGGCCCCAGTCCTGGCTGCGGTCCCGACTGCTGAGCAGAATGTGAATGCTCCTGGAGGAGCAGAAGCCCATGATGCCCATGGGGAAAAGGAAGCCGAACACCTCGAGGGGAAAGAGGACCTTGGCGCTCCAGGTGTCGTTGGACATATTGTGGAAGCACCTGTAGTCTGTGGCTTTCCCGTGGAAGTTGTAGATGGGGGAACTCCCGGCCCACACTAGCACCCAGATGGCGAAGCAGATCCCCAGAATCTTCCTGGGGGACCGGAGGTGGCTGACCAGGATCGGGTACCGGATGGCCAAGAACCGGTCGAGGCTGATGAAGCAGATGGTGAAGATGCCGCCGTACATGCTGACGAAGTAGAGGCACTCCACGAAGGTGCAGAGCGGCGTGACGGGCGCGGCCGAGCCCGGGCGGTCCAGGGCCACCTTGAACGGCAGCGAGAGCACCAGCAGCAGGTCGAAGACCGCCAGGTTGATCATGTAGATGGAGGTGGCGGCGTAGGCCGGCCACCTCCTGGTCAGGAAGGTGCAGAAGCGTCGGATGGCCAGCGCGTTGAGGAGCAGGCCCAGGAGGAAGGTGGGGACGTACACCGCCAGCTGCACCGTCCTCACCAGCTCGTCCACGTCGCCGAGGGAGCAGTTCTCACTCCCGTGCAGCCCACTCGTGTTCATCCCTGCGACGCCCACACCGGGTGAGGTGCGGCTCCCCTCGCTCTCTGAACGCGGTGGATTCCAAAGACTCTGTCAGGGACGATAAACTCCCCTTTGTCACCCAGAGATTCCTGCCCATGGAATAACAATTAGAAAACACAGGGGAGAAAAGCACCTTGAATTCTGCCGCCCAGAAAGTCCCGTTTCACGTATGTCACCCCAGACTCTCTCCGTGTGTGCACGCACACACACACACACACACACACACACACACACACACACCATGTGTGTGCCTTTTTCTTTTACAAAAATGAAACTGCACGAACATGTCTCTTTTTTCTATTTTTTTAACCCTCACCTGAGGATATTTCTTCCATTGATTTTTTTTTAGAGCGGGTGGAGGGGAGGGAGAGAATGAAAGAGAAACATCAACGTGAGGGAGACACACCAGCTGGTTGCCTCCCACCCTGGCTGGGGCCAGGGATTGAGCAACTGAGGTGCCTGCCCCTGACCAGGAATCGAGCCCCCAACCCTTTGGTCCAAGGGCGGACGCTCTCACCACCGAGCCAAACCAGCCAGGGCAACAGGTCTCTTTTTTCAATCAGAAAGTAGTAACAATGAGCCCGGCCGGGCGTGGCTCAGCGGTTGAGCATCGACCTAGGATCTGGGTGATCGGGGTGCGATTCCCAGTCAGGGCACATGCCCGGGTTGCAGGCTGCAGCCGATCAATGACTCTCTCATCATTGATGTTTCTATCTCTCCTTCTCCCTCTCCTTTCCTCTCTCTGAAATCAATAAAGATATATTTTTAAAAAAAAAAAGTAGTAACAATGACACAAAACCCTGACCCAAACTGGTCTAAGCAGAGAGAGAATAGTTGAAAACATGGACACAGGGCAGGGCTGCCTCGAGGCCCTCTCCCTGTGGGCCCCTCCACCCACATTCCCGAAGGTCAGCACAGTCCCCCTGCCTGGCTGCAGGGCCGGGAACTGCTGGTTTCGATGACTTATGCTCGGTCTTCAATGCGACAGTCTTCTACCTCACTGCTCTCTCAGCACCCAGGAAAAAGGGACCCCATTTCCTCGAACAGTGTAGCAGTTTAATATTCTGTACAGCTGCTGCCAGCCTCCAGTAACAAATTCACTTATCAGGTTATAAACGAAGGCTCTTCATTCCCCCAAAGCCTGTGCTAAAGATGAACCTCCATCTTCTAAATCGTGCAAATGGGATACTAGGGAATTTAAATCTTTGAGATAAGGATAGCTTGTCCTTAAATATTTAAGCAATTATTTGATTCCAGTTTCAATATGCAATAACTATGTGTTTTTGTTTTCCATTCAGCACCTAAACAACTTGGTTGCAAAATGAATGTTTAGTAATAAGACGAAAAAGGAGTTATACACAAAACTCTCTGCAAAAGCTCTTGGTGGAATAGGCTGGCTCACAGCCTTGGCCTTGCAGCTCTGCCACACCGCCAGTTCTCACGGCCTTGGCCTTGCGAGCAGCGGCGCCAGGCCTGCCCCAGGCGCCCGGCCTCCCCTCCCCCAGGCCACCTCGCCAGCCGCCCCAGGGCTTCCCACCCCACCCCTTCCCCGAAACAGCTTTAATCTTTTTTTTTACAAAAGGAAACTAAATGAATGAATTAACTATTCAACTTGAACCTTTAGAAAAAACGAAAAAGTCATAGAGAAATCAGAAAAGAAAAAAAAAAAGATTAAAGCAGAAGTAACTGAATTTTAAAAAGAGGAAAATATCAGAATTCACACATTTACTAGCTGGTTCTTGGGGGAGGGGGGTAAGTTAAACAGAGCATATATCTCTAACAACTGTGATTTTTAAAAATGACTCAAACGATCATAACTAGAAATGAGAAAGTATGTGTTAAGCTTACACGGAGAGAAGAGAAAAAATAGGAAGAAACTACCTTACCACTTGAGTGCTAATCCATTTAAAAACCTTGATGTAGTTGACGATTTGGGGACAAAACATAATTTACCACAATTGATACAAGAGTTGACAGAAGAAGGATTGTTTTTTCAACAACCATGAGAAAAACTGAGAATGCCATCGAAGAATTACTCTTAAGCAGGCTGTAGCTTATTTAAAATTTCAAAAAACAGGTAATTCCCATTGCTAGAAATAATTTCAGAGCTTAAGATAGTATTAATGAATTTGTGTTATGTAAGTAACTCACCGGAATTTCAAAACTTGACCAATGTAGCAGAAAAGAGAAAAGCTATTGTTCAAATGACCAATCGTTTCAATGTTAGGAAATCTATTAAAATTGTATTAACATTGTATATTACATCATTAAAGCAAAAATGAAAAGCCCTCTTTCATTGGTAGTTTTTCCACAAAAGTCGTTTAAATGAAGGACTAGAGGGCAACCTCTTACATGTGCTAAAGAGTAACCTGTTCACACCATTGGCCCACTTTGCATTTAATGTTTAAAAAACAAAACAGGCATTCTTGTTGAACTCACCAGCAAGACACTTGCCAACACCCAGAAGTTTCAAATATATGCTGACAATGAACAAAATAAGAATAAATAATACACATGGAAGGCTCAGTCAATAAATGATGTTGAAACTATCAGTAAAAACCAACTTAGATCCTCATTTCACGTTGTATAGCAAAAGAAATTCCAAATTCATTAATGAATTAAATTTCAAAAAATCAAGCCATAGAAAAACTAGATGAAAATTTAATAGACAACTTATGAAAGCGAGTAGAGGGGAAAGTTCTTCGTTAACTTAGAATGATCAAAAAGCAGAAGAATAATTTAAAAAAAAAAACCAAAACAGATGCAACAAGTTTGCACAAAATTAGAAAAAGAATTTTTGTTAAAGCATTTTAACATCAAGTAATATGCTGGAGGAAAGAAAATGCAATAAGTGTTAGATGAATGATGTCCTTTCTCTATGAAGAACATAAAGCTGTGTGCTATCAAGACCCAAAATGGATCAACAGATAAAGGACACAAATAGACAGTTCTCAGAAAAGGATTTGTAAAAAGATAAAATTTTTGCTTATCGGCTTTAAAAAAGCTGGTGAGGGCTCCATGAAACAGTCACCGATGTGCTAGTGAGCATACAAATTAATACATTTGGGGGATTTGATAATTTATATTACAAGCCATAGAAATCATATTAGTCTTCCATCCAGTAATTCTGAAATTTTACCTTAAGTAAATTATGCAAAAGTAGGGAAAAAATGTGTACAGAAATATGTTCACTTTAACATTTTTTTCTGATAGCAAAAACTACACACACGTATTTAAATACCAACAGCTTATTTTAACTTTGGTAAATCTAACCAATGGAAAATTTTTCTGTCTATGTTATGTTCATGCCGACTATGTTAAATGAAACCTCCACAAACTACAGAATTATACGTTCAGAAAATGATTTCAACTGTAATTTAAAAACAAACAAAAAACACACACAAAAAAACAACAACACCACAAAACACCCACGCTTAGGGGGGANTTTCAACTGTAATTTAAAAACAAACAAAAAACACACACAAAAAAACAACACCACAAAACACCCACGCTTAGGGGGGAAAAACACCTAGAAAAAAAATGTTCATATGTCAAACTTCAGTTGCAATCTAACAGATTGTGAGTGATTTTTAAATCTTTTATCTTTCTCTCCTTCTCTCTTGCTTTTGTGTGTATTTCTAATTAATTAATGATAATATGAAAACAATTTAAATTTTTAAAAATTGTATTAAATATTGGAAAAAAAAGGAAGAAAAATAATAGCTTTTGACGTTCCCGTAAAAGAAGAAAAGTCTGGGTGTGTGTCTGAGGCAGGGGCAAGAGGGGGGTTTACACAAAATTTAAAGAAATGCATTGAACTAACCAGGGCTCAGCTAATGAGGCAAAATCTTGGCAGGTCAAAGATGAGCATTTCAATGCGCAGCATCTGAGGGCCAAGCGCGAAATGACAGAGAATTGCAAGGGGCAGTTGAGAAATGACAGAGAGAAGTGCAAGGGGCAGGTGATCGCAGGCAGGTGCCGCCTCAGAGGTGAGAAAGGCATCGAGGACCTGATCCAGATAAAAGGTTTCATCTGCCCGCAGGTCAGCTATTACTCATAAAAACTGTACCTAACATAAAGAGTAAAGAACAGCGTATAAGAAACAAAAAATGTCGGATTAACAATGAAGGGTGGGGAAGGGAAGGGAAGATATTTAAATATAATTCGCCCAGTGTTTGGAGGGCTATTCATAGAAACACATGTAGAAGTTAAAACTTACACTTAAATATTTTCTATATTGGACATTTCAGTTACATTATCTTGTCTATTTTTTTATTTTATTTTATTTTTATTATTTTATTTTATTTTTTTATTATTTTATTTTATTTTATTGTTAACCCTCGCCTGAGGATATTTTTTCCATTGATTTTTAGAGAGTGTAAGGGAGGGAGGGGGGAGAGAGAAACATCGATGTGAGAGAGACACAGAGATGGGTTGCCTCCTACATGCACCCCAACTAGGGCTGGGGATCGAACCTGCCTCCCAGGTACGTGCCCTTGACTGGGAATCAAACCGGTGACCCTTCAGTGCGTGGGCAGAGGCTCTAACCACTGAGCACACCAGCCAGGGCTACTTGGTGCCATTTGGACACTCCTTGGATTGTCCAATCTGGTGCCCGTCTGTCCCCCAGGACCGTGACTGACACCAAGTCACAGACTATTTCTTGCCTGGCACCACCCCCAGGCCCATGCTGGCCTCCCCACCCTGAGCTCCCAAGGACC